GAAAGCAGAAAGGAAGACATGGGAAATACCATATTTGAAGACACAGACTCAGAATTTTTCAATAATCAGTGAAAGACAGGAATCTATAGATTCAAGAAACACAAATATTAAGCAATACAATTAGCAATCTGTTAAATATGGCAATAATTTTATACAGATTGGAAAAAATAAATTTACAATAATCAGAATTTTACTTCATTGTTAAAGAAAAAGTGCTTTTAGATTTACTTAACCATATTTTCTTTTGCAAAAATACTCATGCTTATGCAGAAAGCAAATTATGCAAAATGAATGCATATCTGTAGTTACCATAACGCTGCAGCAGTTTCTGAATTTCCACTCTACTTCCAGGTAACATGGCCAGAGTAGTTAGCAAGGCATGTTGTGGCACAAAAGGATAGAACAGGAGCAGACAAAGGAATAGAACAGCAGAGCAAGTACAGAAAATGACGCATCTGATTTTCACTTGAATTCAACAGAAATGCCTACAATTCAGTGGTGAAATTGAGGTCTTTTCAAGAAAGATGATAAAACGTATTCATACATGGGAAAACAGGCCACACTCCCTATTTTACAGTCTGTGCAGCATGTTCACCAAAATGTAGAAAGCTAGAGAGAAAGAAGGAGAAACAGAGTGATAGCAAGAAGAGAGAGTGAGAGAGACTTTCCATCTGCTGGTTCACTCCCCAAATGGCTGTCTCAGAAGGTGCTGGACCAGCATAGGGCTCTCTGCCTCGCCCTCGCTCCAACTCTGCCTTCCAAACAAACAAAACAAATCTTCTAAAACAATGCAGCCATACTATAGTTTGTGTCAGGTAGTGCGTAAAGTTCCACAACAAAAAGATCCAAATTTTCAGTAACTTCAATGAAACGGACATTTCTCCCTCCTTGTGGTCATCCTCAGAAGTTCAAGGCTAAGAAGAAAGTTTGGCCATCTACAACATCTGACCTCTGTTCCAGAGTCAAGAATGCTTTCTCGGGGCCAGCGCAGTGGTACAACTGGATAATCCTCCACACTGTGGCACTAGCAGCCTGTGTGGTACCAGCTCATGTTCTAGCTGCTCCACTTCTGATTCAGCTCCCTGCTAGTGCCCTGGGAAAACAGAAGAAGAGAACCCAAGTCCTTGGACCCCTGCACCCACATCTGGGTGGGAGACCCAAAAGAAGCTTCTGGCTCCTGGCTTTGGATAAGCTCAGCTGCCACTGCAGCTATTTGGGAAGTGAACCAAAGGGTGGAAAACCTTCTCTCTCTCTCTCTCTACCTCGCTTTCTCTATATATAAAATCTGCCTTTCAAATGAAACAAATAAATCTTTTTGTAACAAAAAAAAAAAAAAAGAAGAAGAAGAAGAAGGTGCTGGACCAGACCAATGCCAGGAGTCAGGAACTGCATCCAGATCTCCCACATGGATGGCAGGTCCCAAGCACTGGGCCATGTTTCACTGCTTTTGCAGGTACATTGGCAGGTAGCTAGACTGGAAGCAGTGCAGCTGGACTCAAACCAATACTTCAACACGCAATCAAAGAGTCAAAGACAGCAGCTTAACCCAGTGTGCCACAACACTGTCCCGGAAGAAGGTACACGTTGGCAGAATGGTTTAGGTGCCCAGCTCCCACATCATAGGAGCTTGTTTCAATACCTGACTCCGGTTCCTAACTCCAACTTTCTGTCAATGCACACCTAGGGAGACAGGAGTGATAGCTCAAGTGACTGGGCTCCTGCCACCCACATGGGAGACCGGGACTGGGTTACTAGCCCCTGGCTTTGGTCCTAGCCCACAACTAGCTTTGGCAGGCATCTGGAACATGAGCCAGCCCATGGGAGCTCTCAATTCACCTGTCTGTATCTCATCTCTGAAAAGAAAAGGATTTCCTTTCTTTTAAATTAGAGATTTATTTATTTGTATTTGAAAAGCAGATTCAGAGATGGAGAAGGGAAGCCAGAGACACAGATATCTCCATCTCCTGGCCCACTGTGAGGCATGTACAGCATGGCCCAAGTACGTGTGCCCTGACAGACACTTGGAAGACTCAGAGTTCCAGGCTCCTGGCTGGCTTCAGCTAGCTAACCCGGACACTGTGACCATCTAGGGAGTGAACCAGCAGATGTGTGTGTGTGTGTGTGTGTGTGTGTGTGTGTGTGTGTGTGTGTGTGTGTGTGTGTACTCATGTGTGCATGCTTGTGTGTGTGTCCATCTCTCTCCTGCCTTATAACTCTACTTTTCAAATGAATAAATATTTTTTTAAAAGAAGATACATGTAACATGATGCCACTTAGAAGTTAAAAGCATGCAACTGCTACAGACTGGGAGTGCACATATATGGGAGAAAGGGAAGCATCCGTGTATGAGAGTAACCAAATCCTGCCAAATTCCGGTCTGGGTTACCTCTGCAAAGTGGGGAAGGGGTGAGCTGGGACAGAGTCACACAACTAGTGTCAACTACATCTGAAAGATTTGTATTCATTAAGTTGATTGGTGGATATACATATCTTTATAATATTATTTCTTATTCTTTCGTGTTTCATGATTCTCAAAAAGATTCCATACAAATTGAAATGATATTAGGTTTGAAATTTCTAAGAAAAGTATTTGTAAATAAGCCAACAACTCTTCTGAATCTAAAAGTCACAGGCTTATACTCAGGCTAGGGAAAAGGAACACATTAGTTTCATTTTCCCAAGATTTAATATATAAAGCAATAAAAATACACTAATGTGAGCAAACTAATGGAAATCCTACAAACAGGAGAGTTCCATGAATAGGTCAACATTTCTCTGAATCTCTGGCAGGTGGAAAGCTGATGGGGTTTTTATAGAGGCAGCCCTCGGCAGCCAGAACCTCGGCCCAGGATAGCAGGAGACCCTGTTTTCCAGACCTTTCCCAGCAGGGCACACCTCACTGCACGTCCAGCGTGGGGACCTCTCCCAGAGCAGACTTGCACTGTGACTACTTGTGCTGATCTAAGCAGGTGTGTGATAGAAAGTCTGCTACTCCTGAGCCCCCACAAACCCATGCTGCCCCGTGTCTGTCACTTCCACAGTAATCCACAGAGCCGTTAGTAAGGGACATCCTCAACTAAAGCTTCCAGAACTGTTCTTAAACAATACATTACTTGACATACTTGTCATGACAGAGAAGTGGATGTTCTATCTTTGGAGAGCATTAAAAACTGCTAGGATAGAATCAGATGGGGAAAGATATAAAAAAAATAATAATAACATTCTTCCACCCTCAAAAGTAAAACCATCCCTATTTTGCCAACTACAGAATGAGCCTGCTTTTTCTCTGCCACTCTGTCTAAACAGAAGTCTCTCCATGTGTAGGATTCAGGAACTTACACAAATCTAGTGAGAGAGAGAGAGACATTAAAAAGACCTGGTGGGTAACATAATACAACAAGATACTTCACGAACAGATTATCAGCCGCTCAAGAAAGTTAAAATCATGAAATGAGGGTGGACAATCAAGTCCTGGCTCTACTCTCAGTTGCAGCTTCTTACTGGTACAGACTCTGGGAGGCAGATGACGGCCCATGCAGGAGGGTTCCTGTCACCCGTGTGGAGACCTGGCATGAGTGTCCAGCTCCCAGCTTCAGCATGCCCAACTAATGACAACTACACGTCTTTGCTGAGTGAACCAGTGGATGAGAATTCTGTCTCTCTTTCTACCTCTATTTTTTTTTTTGTCTTTTTTTAAGATTTATTTTTATTCAAAAAGCAGACTTTACAGAGAGAGAAGGAGAAACAGAGACAGACAGTCTTCCACCTGCTGGTTCACACCCCAAGCAGCCACAATGTCCAGATCTAAGCTGACCTGAACCTGGGAACCGGGAGCTTCTTCCAGGTCTCCCATGTGGATGCAGGGTCCCAAGGCTTTGGGCCACCCTCTGCTGCCTTCCCAGGCCACAAGCAGAGAGCTAGATTGTTAGTGCAGCAGCCAGGACACCACCAACCAGCACCCATCACCCATATGCAAGGCTGGCACTGCAGCCACTTACGGAGTGAACCAGAAGATGGAAGATATCTCTCTCTCTGCCTCCCTCCCTCCCTCCTTCCATCTCTCTCTCTCCCTCCATCTCTCTCCCTCTTTCTCTCTCTCCATCCATCTCTCTAACTCTGTATTTCAAATAAAGACATAAAAATAAATCATATTTTTAAAAAATTACTTAATAGCAAGAACTTAAGGTTTTTTTTTCTATAGCGTCAAAACAAACGAAATTTACAGAAAACAAAAATAAAACAATGTTTTATAGAACATTAGAAGTCTTCCTGGGTGCTATTCAGTTGTTGTATTTCAGCAAAACCACAAATCTTGGAGTTTGAGGGTCTCCTTCCTGTAATTTTGCCCCATAATCACACTTTTTTTCTCCTGCACATGGGCCAGTTCTCCACCATCTCTGTGTTTTCAGTCAACAAGCCAAACACTAGCCTAGCAACAAACTACCTAATGTCACTAAGTTAAAGGAAAAAAACTAAGCTGAGGCCCAGGAAGTTATTTATCCAAGGGCACATAACTGATGGGAGATGAAGCAGAAACCAGAAGGAGGCCTCTGCCGTCCAACAGAAGCAGGCCTCTGCTGTCTGACAGAAGGCCCTGTCCACTGTATCCAGCAGCTCTTCACCAACTGCCAAGGACACGAGATTGAGGTGTCTGCCCAGCTCCAACCTCTGTTCTGGGGCCTTCCACTCTCAGAGCCATAATCCCTCCAAAATCAGTCCCCACCAGGTCCTTCTCATTAGCTCTACATCTGTTATAGAACAGGAAAGGATTCAGGGGTCATTCATGACTCAAGTTCACTTCATGAGGAAACTGCAATTCTGTTTCTAATTTTATACTGACCCTTTAAAGTGAAAAGCACCTTAAGAATTCAAAGCTTAATAATATCGACAACCAAAAATCCAGAAAAATATTTAATAACTGCAGTTTCACTTTGCAATGATACAGCATCTGTTTAAGGAAAAAGCCAGAAAGCACATACTGATTCCATCTTCATACTCACCACAAAACTGATTTGATTGTGTCGCAGGTTGAGTTCGGTTAGTGAATTCAGTCCATTAAGATTATCAACATGACTTAGAAGGTTCCTGGCAAGATTTAAAACTCTCAAATCACACAGATGATTGACATTTTCGATTTTGGTAATCTGCAAAAAAAATAGAGGAGGTATTCTTAGCACATTCAGCATCTATTTCCAGTTTCCTGTTTTGTGAATAATATGAAGTCATTTAACTTGTGAAAGTTAACGACAGGTTTATATTTTACAATCTGTCCATAGTAAATATTTGAAATAAATTTCATCAGATCATCAATGAGTCCACCATGTGGGGCAACCCTAAGTGCCTAACACTGCCAGCTCCTGTGAAGGCTATGGTCTACCTGCCAAACGGAAACTTAGGATGAGCACAAGACATAGCTTATCTATGTTGACAAAGCAAGTCTGTCCTCCAAGAGAAAAGGCAGGGCAAAGAAAGGACACCAACTTCTCCTAACTTGGCAATCATATGCACCCTGCATGATCCTGGTGGGAGCAGTCAAGAGTCTGAATCGAAACACTCGAAAAACCAGGATCCCCGTGGAGGTGAGGATGGGCACTCTGCTATTGGTGGAAGTGTTTCAGAGAGGGGACAATGTTTAGTCACAGTACCATGTGGAGGACACTTGCTGTTTGCAACAGGAGGACCTGACTCATGCATGAGCTGCAGTAGAAAAAAATGAATTCGACAATCATAAGAGATGAATGTATTCATATGTACTCCTACTGCTGTATTACCGAAATTTGTAATCCAACACTTCAAACCATAAGTCATCTTAAAAAGCTTTCTTTACAATTACAATATAGCTTCCCTGTTGTTTTTGAACCCTCTCTTACACTAGAAAACATGGCCTAGATTCCAATCTAGATTCCATCTACATTTGAGAAGACAAATGTATTCGTTGTAAATGCAATAATACATAAAGGTAACCTTTGAATATGTTTAAACTTTGTCCCAGGGCTTGGTATGATAGCCTACTGGCTAAAGTCCTCTCCTTGAACGCACCGGGATCCCACATGGGTGCCAGCAGCCCCACTTCCCATCCACCTCCCTGCTTGTGACCTGGGAAAGCAGTCAAGGACGGGCCAGAGCCTTGGGACCCTGCACCCACGAGGGGTACCCGTAAGAGGCTCATGGCTTCAGATCGGCTTGGCTCCAGCCATATTGGCCACTTGGGGAGTGAATCAACGGATGGATGATCTTCCTCTCTGTCTTTCCTCCTCTCTGTATATCTGACTTTCCAGTAAAAATAAATAAATGTTTTTTTTAATTGTGTTTCAATATTTTATCTGGCTAATATAGAGTGAAATAAATAAAAATTGGAAGTGGGGCCTGGCGCGGTGGCGCAAGTGGTTAAGGTCCTCGCCTTGCACGCCTGGGATCCCACATGGGCGCCGTTTCTATCCCGGCAGCCCTGCTTCCCTTCCAGCTCCCTGCCTGTGGCCCGGGAAGGCAGTCGAGGACAGCCCAAAGCTTTGGGACCCTGCACCCACGTGGGAGACCTGGAAGAGGCTCCTGGCTTCGCACTGCATAGCATCGGCCATTGCGCTCACTTGAGGAGTGAATCATTGGACGGAAGATCTTCCTCTCTGTCTCTCCTCTCTGTATATCTGCCTTTCCAATAAAAATAATAATAATAATAAAAATAAATCTTTAAAAAAAATTGGAAGTGAAGAAACAAGGTTATAGATGATTATAGGATGCAGAGTAAGACATTTCAAAACCAAAATAAATATTACTTGCAGGTTTTTCAATGCAGTAAAATAAAGAAACAAAAAATCAGTAATGTCAGTAGAAGTTTAAGACATTCTCAAAAAGTAAAAAAAATCCTCAGGGAGAACAGAAAAAGAAAGAATACAAAGTAACACAGGGACATGAGAAACATGCATGATAGACCCAGGAAACAGAAGCAGGAAAGAAGCAACATTTAAACACAGAACATGAAACTTCCCTGAGTTCAGAAAAGGATTCTTGGAGCACAGAGCATGAAGAAACAGTTGCGCATGAAGAAACAGTTGTATTACCTTCGTGGTAGCAAGGCCTTCTGCTAGCTAAGCCTGGGCAATTATTTTAGAAATCTTCTCCCATTCCACATGGTATTAGTGGACATGCCTACTGGTTTATTTTATTTTATTTTATTTACTTTGTTTAATTGAAAGGCAGAATCACAGGGAGATAGGAAAAAAAGACACAGAGAGAGCTTCCATTCAGTGATGTATTCCCCAATGGCCACGGTGGCTACAGCTGGAGCCAGAAGCCGGTGCCCCAAGCAGGTGTGGCATTCAACAAGCTGATGGGCAAAGCCTTGAGCAAAGCCTGCTGTGACTGCGAGCTCACTCCCAGAGTGGCTAACAGGAGAAACCACGAAGGGAATGCTAGGAAGCCTCCAGAAAGGACCAGGCTAACCAGGGGTGTTCCAAGAGCCCCTTCACACCCCTGGGAGGGCAGGATTCTTAGGTGAAGACGGCATTCCCACTTGGCCATGTGCAAAAAGGGTCAAGATTTGCTTTCAGGCAAGCAAACATAGAGAGGGCAGGGTTTCCCAAAGGAAAATATGTCACAGCAAGAATGCTATACCAGAAGCACATCCATGGCTACACCAAGGCATGCATTCATGAAGAGAAACAGAATCTCATCTGGAACCGAGTCAACCTCCACCACACTGTCAACTCCGAAGCCTCAGCATTTCCCACCCGTGTCTGTGCTGGCCTGCTGCCCCTATTTCTGCCCATGCAGTTCTTCCTTCTCCCCACATCAGTGACTCTCAGCAGTTTATACTCCAGCTTCCCCTCCCGGCATCCCTCCTACGCCCCACTCCACTTTCTGACACCACTAGCATTCCTCAGAACGTGTTCACATCTTTGCAGGAACTGTTTGATTTCACAGTGGAAGTAAAAAAAAATTCATTTAGTTTTACATTTTTTTTTTTTTTACTGTCTGATACTAAATTTCTGGAGTTGAGCATTGTTTTGTCTAAAATACTAATTTCTTGGGGCTGGCACAGTGGCTTAATAGGTTAATCCTCTGCCTACAGCCCCAACATCCCATGTGAGTGCAGATCTGACTCCTAGTTACCCCACTTCTGATCCAGCTCCCTGCCTCTGGCCTGGAAATGCAGCAGAAGATGGCGCAAGTCCTTGGGCCCCTGCATCAACATGAGAGAGATGGAAGAAGCTCCTGGCTCCTGGCTTCATTTTGGCTCAACTGTGGCTATTGAGGCTGTTTGGGCGGTGAAGGTCTCTTTGTGTCTGCCCTCTTCTCTGTTGCTCTGCCTATCGGGTAAAAATAAATAAATCTTTAAAATTAATAATAAAATCCTTAATCTCTTCACAATTTAGAAATCTACTGTCTTGACTTTGAAATATTCTGAATTTTGATGCAAGAAAAATAAAGTGTTTCACTCAGTTCTAAAGAGTATGAAAAACAGTAGGCGACAAGACAAAACCCTCCATTTGTCATGCAAAGCCTTCCGCAATCTAGCCTTATCTAGCCTCCTGGCTTTCTTGTGGTTCCTCTGTCATGCTCTATCCTCTAGTTTAAAAACACAACTCCCTGTTTTGTTCTTGCTCTTGACGCCTTTGCTCTGACAGTCTTTTATTACCAATGCTCTTTGATTCCTTCTCCCTTCCACCTCCAGCTGACTGGACAACTCTCCCTCCACGAGATGGACACTACCCAGCCTTTAGAGGTCACTGTCCATTCCGTATGACTGCACAGCCCAATATGAAAGTTTAATGAAAGACCAAGGGTTAAAAATGAGCCAAGATGCTGTGGCAGAGAATAAAGAGGTAGAACATGCCAGAAATAGGTGTCCAATTTCAGACAGACACAGGAGTAAACAAACGGATTAAATAGAAGAGATAGCCTAGATTAGAAGGGAACCAGGAAAATATAAAGCAACACTAGAAGCCATAAGATTATCACCACTTTAATTCAATTCAGTCAACAAAAACTAAGTCTTAAAATTCCCTATGCTAAACAGGACATGAAGTAACAGGATAATTATACATCACTACTGGTAGGATTACAGAGTGGCACAATCACCTTGAAAAGACGCTAGCACTATATTATAAAGTTGAACATTTAAGTAACCTGTGACTCATCCATTTCATTCCCTCATAAATACCCTAGAGTACAGATAGAGTATACAGACAAAGAGATTGGCACAATAGAGTTCCTAAAAAGCACTGTCATGGGACTGGAACTGTGGCATATCAGGTAAGCCACTGCCTGCAACATTGGCACCCCATATGAGTGCTGGTTTGAATCCCAGCCACTCCACTTCCAATTCAGATTCCTGCCGATGCACCCAGGAAACCAGAGGAGGATGGCATAAGTCTTTGGGCACCCACACCCATGTGGGACACTGAGAAGCCCCTGGCTCCTGGCTTCAGACTAGCCCAGCACTGGCCATTGCGGCCATCTGGGAAGTGATTCTGTGGATGGAAGATACCTCTCTCTCTCTTTCTCTCTATAACTCTGCTTTTCAAATAAATAAAATAAATCTTAAAGGGAGAGTACTTACTGGTCATGATAATACAAACAAATTTTTTAAAAGAGAAAAGAAATATTTATCAATAAGTATCAGTAAGAAACCAAAGAAACATTTTTGTCTTGCTCTGGTTTTAATAAATTAAGTTTTTGAGAGGCCGACAGAGAGAGAGAAAACACATTCTCATCCAATAATTTATGCCCTAACTGTTTGCAAAGGCCAAGACTAGCCCAGGCCAGAGTCAACAGTCAGGTACCAAATCCAAGTCCCATCTGTGGGTCTCAGGGACCCAAGTGGTTGAACCAGCACCTCTGTCTTCCTGAGTCTGCATTAGCAGCAAGCTGGACTTGAAACAACAGCCAAGTATCAACCTAGGCACTTCGATATGGGATCCAGGCATCTTCACCACTAGACCAAACACTAACTTCATACATACAAAAAAAGTTTTTGTATACTCTTATCCTGCACGGAACATATAACAATGAAACTGAATAAACTCTAGCTACTTTAACACGGGTAAGTCTCGGTAACGTTGAGTCCACAAAGTAAACACTACATAACAACACATAATACACTTTTAATTTTTTAAAGATTTATTTATTTAAAAGGCAGAGCTATAGAGAGAAAGAGAAAAAGACAGAGACAGAGAGAACCTCACATACACTGATTAAGTCCCTGCTTGGCCACGAGGGCCAGGGCAAAGCCAAGAGCCTGAACTCCTTCTGGACCAACAACTCAGGCCATGTTCTTTTGCTTTTCCAGGCACATTTTAGCAGAGAAACGGACTAGAAGTGGAGTAGCTGGGACTTGATCCAGCACCCAAATAGGATGCTGACATTGCAAGCAGCAATTTAATCTGATATACTACAATATAGGCTCCACATTTTTAAGATACACGGGGCCAGCACCTTGTGTCATATAGGTTATGCCGCAACATCAGAGTGCCGATTCAAAGCTCGACTGCCAAGCTTCTGATCCAGCTCCCTACTCATGCACCTGGTAAAGCCACGCAAGATAGCAACAATCCTTGGGCCTGTGTCATCCACTGGGAGACTTGAATGGGATTTCTGACTCCTGGCTTCAGCAGAACTTTGGCAGCCATTTAAGGGAGTGAACCAGTAGCTGGAAAATTGATCTTGCTCTTTTGGCCTTTCAAATAAATAATTTGAATTAATTAATTAAAATATACTATTCCTAAGCAATATTTTAGCTAGATACGCTTACATGTGACAAAGCCAACTAAAAACTCCACAAAGGAATGGTAAACAAGAAATCTGGAATAGAAGTTTTCTCTGAAGAGGAAATGAAGTGAGTAAAGGAGAAACACCTAAGTAGAGCAACCAGCAATATTCTAATTCTTGGGTTGGACTTACATAACGTGAATTTTAAAACATATGCTAACAGAAAACTAAATCTCAATATTGTTAGGGTGGACATTTGGTTCAGCAGTTCAAATCCCTCTTGGGAGGCCTATATATCTGGTATTGGGGTGCCTGTAACTGAGTACAAGATCCATTTCTGAACCCAGCGCCTTGACACTGTACAGCCTGGGAAGCAGCAGGTGCTTGGGTTTCTGGCACCCATGTGGGGGACCTGAAGTGCATTCTAGACTCCTGGCTTCAGCTTTGCTCAGTTCCTGCTGATGTGGGCATTTAGGGAATAAACCAGCACACAGACAATATTGCTCCCTCTCAGCCTTACAAATAAAACAAATAAATTTTGTATGACTGTAAAAACCTCAAAGTTTTGTTAAGTTTTATCTGTCATTTACTGCCAAGCAGTTAACAAAATTTTATATAAGTAGTCTTCATAACAAATTGAAGTCAATCAGTAAAGTAATTCTTGAAAATTTAATATGATTCTCACAACATTTATAATGCCAAACTTTCTGGATGTTTTTTCAAAAAGGAATGAAGTAAAAAAGGGCTTTACAATACCTGATTTCCATGAAGGTCCAAAACATCTAAATTTTTTAGGTTCTCTAGATTTGAGATTTTCTTGATTCTGAAAGCCAGAATAAGTATGATAAGTTGAACAGAAATATGGATATATATCACATCTGTCAGCAAATCAAATCGCACTAAGTACACTGGTATAACCGATTTTAATACTTCACTCAGTCTTTACATACGCTACATATATTACAGTCACTATAATATATATTAGCTCATAACATAGCTTCTCTTGGATGGATTATACATTTAAAGACTCAGTGTCACTAGCAGAAAGGTAATTTCAATGTGACCTTTCCAGAGAAGAGCAAGTCTGCATCTATAACCTTCAGGACAAAACACTTGCTCCTGGCTTTCCCTTCCTTTAGAGTACAATTCAACTCCCCTCTGTCCTCCACAGGGTACTCAGCCTGGCCCCACCTCCGCCAGTCTGGTCTCTGCCCACAGGCTCACAGGGGTGCTCCTGTGCCATCTCTACTTCTGCCCGTGCTCTCCCCTGACCTTTCACATGGCTCATACCTTCCCGTTACTCAGGTCTCAGCTCAGATGCCTCCACATGACCCACCCCCTTCCAGTATCCGTCACACTATTCCTCCTATGCTTTGACTCCCAGCATTTATCACACACAAAAGGACATTATGTATGAGTTCATCGCTTTTGTGTTGCTCTTGCCAAGCCAAAATGTGAGCTTCTAGAAGGCAGAAACTTTGACCTGCTCTCTACTGCATCCTCAGCACCCTCGGAGTACAAAGGAGCCACCTAATATCTGGTTATTGCAAACCACCTTAAGGCTGTGTATTGGGCATTCAGTTTATAAAAGCATTGGCTTTTATTTGGAACTTCTGATGCAGCATTTTGTAAAAAGCTAGAACTTTGTGATAAAGTTCACTAGCATGGGATTCTTTCTCTACAATGTTCCCCTTCAGGGTCCCTAATAGCTAGGCCTACCCATCAGTACCCTCATTCCTACCCTCCATGCTGTCCAGCTGCTTCCATGGGACTCTCCCACGGACAATGACAACCACTCTGACTTTCTGCTGTCTCTCTCCAACAATCTTACTAAATCCCACTGCCAATATTCAATAAAGAGAAGGGAACAGTGGCAAACAAGAGACAAAGAAAATGAAACTCACAAGGTCAGCACTGTGGTACAGTCGGTAAAACTGCTTCCTATGAAGTCAGAGGCCATGTCCTCGCTGCTCCACTTCCAATCCAACCCTCTGCTAATGGCCTGAGCAAAACAGCAGATGGCCTGCCCAGATGAGCTCCTGATTCCTGGCTGAAGCCCTGAGCAGCAAAAGATTGTCATCTCTCTCTCTCTCTCTCTCTCTCTCTCTCTCTTTTTCTTTCCTTCCTTATCTCTCTCTTTCTCACTGTAACTCTTTAAATAATCATTTTGTAAAACACTAAATTCTTGTGACCCATCTGCATTACCATCCTTATCTACTGATTTATCGTCACTGCTTACTACCAAGTTTTCAGAGCTCGGATTATCTCTTGGAGCATCATAAACAATGCAAACTTAAGCCTTGTGAATTTATCCACTTGAACTTAATCATCTTTGCAAGAAATCACACTCTCCACTTGACCTCAGTCATCTTACAACCCTGCCAAATTCAGAATTACATCACCACTAACCAAGTCAACCCAATTTAATTATCAAAAATATTTATCACACATGAATCATATTTTATCACTACATGCTGATGCTTCCTCTAACTCCCCTGAACACACCCTCCTCACTAATCTCCTCTCTGCAACCATCACACTGGAAGCCCTCTCTTCCTTGCAAGTGCTCCACCCTCTGAACGCCCTTCCTCACTTCATCCAGACCATTACACATCTGTCCACACTCACCGGAATCTTTCATTAGCTTTCATCCAGAGCCAGGTGTTCCAAGTACACTACCCACCATTTAAGCCTCTGTAATTACTAGGCTAATAGCCAAACCAGCTGGGAGACGAGACAAAACTTTCAACAAAACCCTTCCTCTGTGTACTTTTCCCTTGAAACAACTCCAACAGTTGGAGAAAATGACAGCTTCCTAATAAGAAGGCTTTAAGACACAGCCTTTCTCATGGCAATCTGACCTCATAGCTGCTCTTGAAGTTTTTGATTCAATTATTCCATACTCCCAAGCTCACATTCCTTAAAACAGTGGACAGCGGTTCCCAGACTTGTCTGTGCAGCAGACTTGCCCGTACTGCCTGTCTCCTCCTCTGAACTGGCTTGCTCATGCTGTGGCCCCACATTTCTGAGTTAATTCAAACCTTGGCCTGTGATTATCATGCACTGGTTTTACTTTTTTTTTTTTTTTAACATTCTGAAGCTCACACCCAGGGAGAATGAAGACTGTTTTAAGTCCTGTTTGATCAGTGCAGTTTGTTTGTTCAACTCTAACAAACCCTAAGTACCTTTAAGGCAATTCAGTCACAGAAACCTCCACATGTAATAACATCTTTCCATAGAGCTCCATCAAGGCCTGGCAAGTTCCCCCTCTGTTTTGACAAGCGAACCCTTAGCTTGGATTCACAGTGACTTGATGACGCTCGCTGCTGATTGCCCCAACAGGAAGAAAATAAGCAGAGTGCCCAAATGGAGAACCCCAACACCAGCCAACATCTTGCTGCCTGGTTCTCACGAGTCAATGTTGCCATAACTTCTCTCCCTCCCTCAGCCCGAGAGGAAAAGATCCAATCCTGAAGAATTTAGAGGCTAGGAAAGGCACTGGCTAGAAGGCCACATCAGATGAGGCAGAGATGTGAAGGATGTGAGAATCCTAATCCATTACCAACCACATAGCTGAAGTTTGACATAAATACCACTGTGAACTAAACGACTCACAGGTCTCCCACTTGAACAGAAACAGAAGCTGGGAGAGGCCCAGGCTCACCTCACTCAGCACCCCAGGCCCCTAGGGCTGTATCTTGGCCTCTCTGCACACCCTAGCACAGGATATGCCAGTATAAAGATTCCAACTCAGGACTCTCACAAATGCCATGCTTCTCGGGTGCTGGATAATTCCCTAAGTGTCAAGCAGTCAATACAGAAAGGAACAGAGAATCCAGCATGTGGCTACAGTCCTGGGTGACAGAGGAAAATGCAAAAATTTCTATTCACCGGTCTGCAATCAGGAGGACACTAGAAAAACTGAAGTAGATAATCAGAAGAGATGGAAGGCAGAAAAATTAGAGGGCAAGAATCTCCACAGCAAGGTCGTGCCAGGAGTTCCTTGGAGACAACACAAACTTCACACACAGACGCTGAGGAATGCTAGCTTTCAAGCAGAACGCTTTGTGGAAGCTGGCTGAACTCAGACATGCGGTTGCCCTGAATTTCACATATGCTTCCACTGCCTCGAATGAAAAGATGGCTTAGGGTTTTGCAATGTGACAGGGAGAAGCCTTTCCAAGCTTGGCCAACTGGGAGCAAAAAATGGTAACGACAAAGTGGCGGAGATGCTGGCAGCTGAGCACCTTTCTGGCCAGCAGCGGAAGCCAGGTTTGCCCAACTCCAAAGCATGGCTTCAGGATGGAGGTGGATCTACCCAACTCCCAGGTCCCTTGCTGGGATAAAGCCAGCTGGCTGGAAAGCACTTGGCAAATGTTTAGGGATCAGATTTTCATTTCATTGATATTTGAGCATTATGTAATTTATGAGATCACAGAAGGTTATCTTCTGACTTGTTGTCTTTTTCATTCAAGAACACTAACTGTTAAAACTGTAAAACAATTGGGCCCAGTACCATAGCCTAGAGGCTAAAGTCCTCGTCTTGCATGCACCGGGGTCCCATATGGGCGCCAATTATATCCCAGCTGCCCCAATTCCCATCCAGCTCCCTGCTGGTGGCCTGGAAAAGCAGCTGAGGACAGCCCAAAGCCTTGGGACCCTGCACCTGCATGGCAGACCCAGAAGAAGCTCCTGGCTTCTGATCAGCCGAGCTCTGGCCATTGCAGTCACTTGGGGAGTGAATCATTGGACACAAGATCTTCCTCTCCGTCTCTTCTCCTCTTTGTATATCTGACTTTCCAATAAAATTAAAATAAATCTTTTAAAAAAAGAACTGTAAAATACTACTTTCTTCATGTTAAACATTAAAAATGACCAAAGGCAAAGGGACACAAATGACGGATGAATGAAAGCTGGAAGAAGAGATGGCCCTGGGTTTCTCAGATAAAGGCAAAATACAAGAGCATTAGGCCCCCTAAAAGTGGAAAAGCAAGGAAACTAAATATGATCAAAGGGTCAGATAAACATATGTTTTTAAGGCATGGGTGATTTAAAACAAAAACCAACCGGAAAGCAGAAGCAGGAAGAAAAAATAAGAGGGAAAGATTATTTGAAACAGTGTCTCCTAGACATTGTTTTAAAGATTTATTTTTATTATTTTTTTTTATTGGAAAGGCAGATATACAGAGAGGAGAGACAGAGAGGAAGATCTTCCGTCCGATGATTCACTCCCCAAGTGAGCGCAATGGGCCGATACTATGCCGATCCGAAGCCAGGAGCCTCTTCTGGCTCTCCCACACGGGTGCAGGTTCCCAAAGCTTTGGGCCGTCCTCGACTGCTTTCCCAGGCCACAAGCAGGGAGCTGGATGGGAAGCGGGGCTGCCAGGATTAGAACCGGCGCCCATATGGGATCCCGGGCGTGCAAGGCGAGGACCTTTAACCACTTGCGCCACCGCTCCGGGCCCTAGACATTGTTTTAAAAAGGGAGGGTTCAAACTTCTCACTGGAAGACAACTAACCTGAAGACATAGAGGTAGAAAACCAGGAGAAACTGGAAGAACTAACAGGGGGCATCAGAAAGCAATAATTCATTTCCCTTCTCCTTTAATCCCTGATGGCCATATATCACTTCCAAATGTATATGGTGTGCATACAGCTAATGCTGCAAGGTTCGTTTTGCTTCTGTGTTTCTTCATCTGCACCATAACAGCTGATTACTCAAGTCACTTTAGGAAACACCAGGTTTCCTATCTGTGCTGTCACAACAACACTGATGGAAATCTTCAGAGAAATCACAGACAAAAGCCAAAAACCCTAGGGCCAGTTGTGGCACGGGAGTTAAACTGCCACCTGCGATACCAGCATCCCATGTGGGTACTGGTTCAACTCTCAGCTGCTGCACTGCTGATACAACTCTCTGCTACTATTCACCTGTAAGGCCCAGATGGAGTTCCAAGCTCCAGGCTTTAGCCTGGCACAGCCCCGGCTATTGTGGTCATTTGAGGAGTGGACCAGCAGATGGAAGATCTGTCTGTCTCTCCCTCCTTCTCACTCTTTCTTTTTAACTTTGCCTTTAAAATAAACAAATAAATCTTTTTTAAAAAATAGCCAAGGGCTGGGCGCAGTAGCCTATAGGATAAAGTCTTCGCCTTGCACGCGTCAGAATCCCATTTGGGCACCAGTTCGTATCCCGGCAGCCCCGCTTCCCATTCAGCTCCCTGCTTGTGGTCTGGGAAAGCAGTTGAAGACGGCCCAAAGCTTTGGGACTCTGCACCCACATGGGAGATCTGGAAGGAGTTCCTGGCTCATGGCTCCGGATCGGCTCAGCTCCAGCTAGTTTGGCCACTTGGGGGGTGAATCAGCAGAGAGAAGATCTTCCTCTCTGTCTCTCCTTTCTCTATATATGCCTTGCTCATAAAAATAAATACATCTAAAAAAAATAGCCAAGAATCTTGGGACATTGTCTTGGAAAAGTATGTTGAATTATCAGAGGGCAATGGGAAAAGAGTATAGAAGCCCAGGACATACCTCCCCAATCATAACACCTCAGCATACTGCATCATCTAAGCTGAAGATGATGGAGAAAGCACAGCAAAAAAAGCCTACCCTCAAACCTTTTCTCCCTCAGGCTAGTAGAACACCTCTCTGCCATGCTTCTCCAAAAACTCATGTATAGGACCCTCATTTCAAAGGGCTTCTGCCCAATACTGGCCGGGAAAGGCAGGTAGCTAAGCACAGAGATGCCAAGAAAGCTCTGAAGAAACAGTTCCCTATCCTCAAACCTTATCCCCTCTTGTCCAGCCACACCTCTGCAGCACCATCTGCTGGTCATCAAACCTAAGCATACAAATAACTTTCCTCCATCTCTTTGAGTCTCCATTTCTAAGAGCTCCTGCATCGTGCAAAACCTACAGTAAGTAAACTTGACATGTTTTTCTCTTTCATCAGAGTGTTAGCCATGAATCTCAGGATGGATGGAAGCAAGATGTCCTCCTCCTCTTCCCTACAAGAGATAATCAATCCAAGCTCTAGCTTGAGGGCAATGGGGCAGGAGACAGAGAGGAACCCAAACTAGGAATGATGCTGTACCAACATATCATCGATTGATCAAATATAATGCCTCTTGAATACCGCTAACCAGCCCTTCTTTGTGGGAACTGCAAAAGCTACCTACTAAAACAGAAAGAAAAATTGTGACTAAATCCCAAGTAAAGGACTCATACTGAGCTGAGTAAAAGCAGCACAGAGTCCACTCAGAGTGTAACATGACACGCACTGCGACCATCACCTTAGGAGGGATGTCGCAGCATCTCCAAGGAGTGTCCACCCTTGGGCCAACTGGAGGAGAATCCCAAGGAGGCACACAGCCTGGGGTGAACGCACATGCTTAAAACCCTTCCAAAGAAGCAGCCTTAAGGCCAGAGTGTGCTGTTTATTTCCATCCAAGATACGGCAACAGACAAGGATGGTAACAAAATACACTTGATATGCGTTATTGGGTTTGACAAACTGTCAGCCTGAATCTCACATAACAAAGCAGAACTAAATCCTTTCCATGACAACCACAGTCTTCCAGGAATCTACCCAGACAACGAACACAGAGTGAAGGCAAAGGTTTCTGACAGATGTTCTCTAGGCCGTTAAGAAACATGAAGTGGGCCTGGCACGGCAGCCTAGTAGCTGAAGTCCTTGCCTTGCATGCATTGGGGTCCCATATTGGCACCAGAGCATATCCCAGCTGCACCACTTCCCATCCAGCTCCCTGCTGGTTGCCTGGGAAAGCCTTGGGACCCTGCACCTGTGTGGGAGGCCCAGAAGAAGCTCCTGGCTTCAGATCAGCTGAGCTCTGGCCATTGCAGCCACTTGGAGAGTGGAGCAGGAGAGAGAGGATTTTTCTTTCTGTCTCTCCTTCTCTCTGTGAATCTTTCCTTCCAATAAAAAAATAAATCTTTGTAAAAGCAAAAAAAAAAAAATGTAGAGTTGTTCTTTTGGCCACATACATGCGCACCAATAAAAAAGATGATCCTGCAGACGTCAAAGGAATGAGTATTGTTTAAACAGGAAGGCCCCTTCAATGTGACCATGGCAGGACTGTAAGAAGAGTCTACCTACAGTGTTAACCTAGCGTGCTGATGGCATTGTTGTAAGCAAGTTCAGGGAAAGAGTCTTTCTAAGAGCATTCAGATGCAGACTGAGCATATTAAACACTTGAGGGCCAAAGTACCTTCCTGAAAAATGATCAGAGATAAAGGAAGCCAGAGAGAAATGTCTCTGAGCTCTACTGCAGCGCCAGCCTGCTCCACCCAGAGGAACCCACACTGTCAGAATTCATGGAAAGAAGCCTGAGTGCCTGGAACCCATCCTCCAAGAAACCATGGCATCTCAGTAACTGTAAAAACAGATATACACACATAACGAACCAACCTCTGGACCCACAAATATTTCTTAATTGAGTTAGAAGTGTGCTGTCCTGTCTTCCAAATAAATGCTGAAGTTAAAAAAGAAAAAAACAGCAACACTAAGTCTTCATCTACTCAAACAATTTTTCAAAGCTGCAAAGCTATTAAATGTATTGATTTATTAGGTGTTACCCAGTTCCGAGTTGCCATAAAAATATCTAGAGGAATGGGGTTGGCAAAGGAGTATAGCCAGTTAATCCTTAGATTGCAAGCACTGGCATGCCATATGGGTACCAGTTCAAGTCCCAGATGCTCCACTTCCAATCCAGCTGTCTGCTTACAGCCTGGGAAAGCAGCAGCCCATGGCCGTGGGTTCCTGCAACCACATTGGGGGCCATGGCACTTCTTCCTGTCTTCTGACTGGAATGGCTCAACTCCAGCTATTGCTACCATTTGGGGAGTGAACTAACAGATAAAGACCTCTCTCCGTCTCTCCTTCTCTCTGTAAAAATCTGCTTGCCAAATAAAAATAAATAAATCTTTAAACAATAAAATCTAGGGGCTAGCATGGTAGCAAGCTAAGCCTCTACCTGCAGCACCAGCATCCCATATAGGCAGCAGTTCAAGAATTGGCTGCTCCACTTCCGTTCCAGTTTCCTGCTTATGACCTGGGAAAGAAGCAAAGGATGGCTCAAGTGTTTGGGCTCCTGCACCCACATGGCAGACTTGCAAGAACTTCCTGGTTCCCAGTTTGGACCAGCCCAACTCCAGCAGTTACAGCCATTTGGAGAGTGAACTAGCAGATGCAAAATCTCTTTCCTTGTGACTCTGCTTTTCCAATATAAGTAAGTAGTTAAATAAATCTTAAGACATCTAAAACTCAGCATTATTCCACGTGTAACATCAGGATGCAGAATCCTGCTCTGCACAGAATACCTGTTCTTCCCCAGCAGAAGGACACGGAGGGATCTCAGAGTAGAAAGCCCACTGATTTCTTCAATCTGGTTATCATATAAGTCCAGGAATATTAGCCTCTGCAGATTGGAAATATTTTGGATCCGAGTTATAAAATTGTGTTGGAAGTTCAACAGGCGTAAGTGTTCTTCCCCATCGATGATAGGACACACAGTCAACTTTTGCCTAGGAAGAAATGTTTAACAATTAGCAAGATTCTGAGTCAGTAATCTCCCTCCTTTCACAAACACACTGCTACTAGCATCTCTCTGTGCACCCAGTGAGGGGAGGAAACGACAAGTTGGACCACCTTCAGCCCTGTGAACTGAGCGACTTCTACTTCATTCTAAGTCACACAAAAAAAGGACAAGACACTTTAAAGGAGGTAATTATTAAAATTGACTCTTGCTGTACGTTTAAAAATACAATATCAGCTATTTCACAAGAAACTGGCTTTAACGGCAGAATGCCTTCTGTGACAGAGGTGCAGACAGCGCAATTCACAATATACTCACAGAATCGTGCTTGACAACAACCCACCAGAGTCTGCCCTGGCAACACAGCTGGCAGAGGAAACCCTGTGGAGCCACAGACCCTCGTGCTAAGTGGCTGCTCCATCATGGAACTCTGCCACTACAGCACACGTGCGGGGAATGTTCATCCTGGAATGCAGTGAGGGCAAAGGGGCCCACCCTGAGCCATCCCTCAGGGCTAGTGTCTGTGTTTACATGTCCAACACTAACTGTGCAAGTCATTTAGGATGCTGGAAGGTAGCACAAAACCTTAATCATACAGGCCTTCAGCTGGATTTAAAGCAGTGAGCCTCCATTATGCAAAAGATTAAAACGTACGACATACGAAGCAGTGCAGAGCTCTTTAACAATTCCAGTAGTGTAATAGCATGGTTGAAGAGAGGATGTATTGAGTGAGTCTACTCTGAGAGGTTCAAAAGAAGCTTCCAGATGAACACAGCTCTGCCTGGAATGAGCCATCAGGTTTATTAGGAACATTTCCTTTCAGTAAGCATCAGGTTAATGTAATGCTTTAAAATAGATAAATCAGGGACAGGCCAGGCTAAGTAACCACTTAAGATGTCAGAACATCAGTCAGAGTTCCAGCTACTCAGCTTCTAATCCAGATTTCCTGCTGATGAGCCTGGGAAACAAGCAAAAGGCAACCAAATTACCTGGGTCCCTGCCACCTGCTGGGGAGAGTAGCATGGAGTTTATGGCTCCTGGTATGAGCCTGGTCCACATCCGGCTGTTGTGATTTGGGGAATCAGCTGGTAGATGAAAAGATCTCTTTCACCCTTTCCCCACATCTCTGAGCCATTACCCCAATCACTCTGCCTTTCAAATAAATAAATAAATCCTTTTTTTTTTTATTTAAAGATGTATTCCTATTGGAAAGTCAGATATACATAGAGGAGGAGAGACAGAGAGGAAGATCTTGTATCCAAAGATTGACTCCCCAAGTGACTGCAATGGCCAGAGCTCGGCTGATCAGAAGCCAGGAGCTTCTTCTGGGTCTGTCATGCAGGTGCAGGGTCCCAAGGCTTTGGGCTGTCCTCAGCTGCTTTTCCAGCCCACCATCAGGGAGCTGGATGGGAAGCGGGGCCACCGGGACATGAACTTGGATTCCAGCAAGTGCAAGGTGAGGACTTCAGTTTCTAGGCTACTGTGCCAGGCCTAATAAAAAATCCTTTTGTAAAAATAAATAGGAGTCTTTATCCTGGCACACTGGGTAATTTTTCTACTTGTAACACAGCAACCTATATTTAGAAGAAGCAGCAGAAAATGGCCCAAGTGCATGGACTCCCAATACCCATGTGGGAGAAACAGATGAAGCTCCTGGTTCCTGGCTTCAGTGTGGCTCAGCCTGACCACTGTATCTAGGGTACGAAACAGTGGATAGAAAACACCTCTTTCTCTTTTCTCTCTTTCTCTCTCTCTCATCCTCTCCTTTTATAGTTCTGATATACAATAAATGAACTCTCTAAAAATACAAATAAACAAGTAATATTTTAAAGATAAATCAGAGCATAAGTGTAGGCAAAACTGTGGAAGTGATTCAAATCTTCCTTATAAAATAAGGAAGATTTTAAAAAAATAAAGATTTATTAGCAGAAAAACTAACTGGATATTAATGGTAGACAAAGATGCAACATTAAAAAATTTAGGTACCGGCTTAAAACAGAGGACAAGTAAAAAATATTAGGCAACAGTTTAACCTTTTTGCATATGGCTAATATTTGCAACTCACTTCCTGCATTTAATTGCACTATCACACTGGTGTCTGTGGTTTATAAAATGTGCACCTTCGCGTTGCTGCATTGCCTTAGCAAAATAAACAATCTAATCCTTCACGCTTCACTCTTCTCTGCTTCTCAGTTAAATTTACTAATACGCTGATAGGCCCAATTCTCAAGCCAGTCACCATTAAGGGAGCAAAGCCCCAGTAATCCCTGCCACAGTTGCTGGGGCTAGAAATCCACCTTGCTGGACTCCACACATAGCAGCTAAGTCCCAATTCCAAGGCTCACTTGCTCATCCCTTAACTCCACAACACCCTGCCACTCCGTCAAAACAAGCAAGCAGACACGCGTAAGCATCAGCGACCCATGTGCCCAAGGCTGTGTCGCCTTCTGCTTCTGACAATCTGATCTACCTCGTTTCCACCTGCTTCCTTTTCGCTGCTCACAGGATATCTCCCTGCTACTCCAGGACTGTCCATCTGAGTTCCCAAAAGAGGCACAGCTTTGCTTTCACAAATGCCAGCTTTTCTTCTCATTACAGGATTCCATTCTTGCACCCTCAGGCTCCTGGCTTCATGCTGCCCAGCAAGATATAGTTCCTCTGGAAATCTCTGCTGGTACCCACTGACCCCTAACTTAGTTCCTTGCTGCTAATCCAACTCTGACACTACATGCTGATACATGTGGTCAAACTAAGTGGATGGGACTTTGGTGACTCTGTCCCTTGTTTGGAAACATGCACATCTCCATCCAATCCAAATGTACTTCTCAAGCCCATGCAGTCAGGAACACATCTTTCCTAACCCTGAGTCATCTCCAAATGCGACAAGAGTGAACTACACATTATGTCACCGTCTTACAAATACTGGCTCCTGAGAACATCAAGTAACACACAGTTCAAGGGCTCAGGTACTAGCCTTGGCTGAACACTTAGGGATTGTGACAACAATTCTCACCTAAGCCCTCAAAACATTCAAACGGCATTATGAAAGGTGTATTAGACACCATAACCCTGCGGAGATCTCAGGAAAGCTACTGCCCTCTGCTGTTACTCTGACTGCGAAGCATGCTAGGCCCTCCAGGGAGCTTTCTGCCCACTCAGGTGGGCCACTGCCTCTTCCCATCAGGCATGTGAGCTAGATGTGTTCTCTGCTGGTTACACCACAAGCGTAGAGATCGCAATTCTTCCTCCACCTCTGTTACAAACATCTCCTTGGATGCAAACACAGGAGTCAAGTCCTAATTATACTTCTTGATTAAAAACAAAACACTTTTTTTAAAAATCAACAATCTCCTTCGTACCAGGCCCTGTATTAGGTGCCAGGGATGCAGAATTGAACCAAAATCCTTGAGAGTGTGAGGATGACATCCTAACAGGGTTAGAAAGGCAATACATGTGTAGGTGAATAATTACTACGTGAGAGGTGATAAGTGCTAGGGAGAACAATTAAGTGGGTGGCGGGGACTCCTGGGGAGGGAGGGTTGGCACGTTGGAGGGGGCAGTCAGAGGGAATCATCCCCCAGATGACATCGAGATAAAGACCTGTAGGAGGGACGGGAAGGAACCTACAGAACTGTGGAGGAAGAACACTTGGGGGAGAGGGAGGGCAGGGAGGACGGGGGGATGGCTGAAGCACAAGAAGTGCAGGGAGCATTGGAAGGCTTGAGGCTGGAGGGAACTAGACTAGATCAACAAGCATGAAGTTCATTCTAAACTAAACATCAGTTTATATTACTTAGATATAAAACTCCTCATATACCCCTGGAAGGATAACCAAAAAAGAAAACTGGTTAAGAAATTATTCTGGGACCCAGTGCAATAGCCTAGTGGCTAAAGTTCTTGCCTTGAGCATATCAGGATTCTATATGGCCACCGGTTCTAATCCCAGCTGCCATGCTTCCCATCCAGCTCCCTGCTTGTGGCCTGGGAAAGCAGTGGAGGACTGCCCAAAGCCCTGGGACCCTGTACCCAACGTGGGAGACCCAGAAGAAGCTCCTGGCTCCTGGCTTCAGATTGGTTAACTTGGGGAGTGAACCAGCGGATGGAAGATCTTTCTCTCCAACTCTCCTCTCTCTGTATCTGACTTCCCAATAAAAACAAATAAATCTTTAAAGAAAGAGAGAGAGAGAAATGGTTCATCTTGCGAAGGGAACTGGATTGCTGGCGCATGGGAAGGAGGAAGACTTTGACACCTTCCCAATCACGTATTGTCTCTATGCGTTACTTAGAAAGCAACAGAAAAGGTATTATTATCCTCACCTTTCCAGCGTCAGCCTGTCTGAATAAAGAATCTTCTCTTCAGAAGAACGGTGGAGAACAGGAAAGGATGGCATTGAGGAGCTCACCAGGTTAATATGGTCACCTATTCAAAAGGACACGCAAGTTACTCAATCCGGAAAAAGCGTTAAAATCTTGAAATCAAAGCCACCTATTTGGAGAAACTTTGGCAGCTACACACACCTCCTACAGGAAGTATTTCCACAGCCCTCCATATCTGAAATGAATCAACCCCTCAAGACCTAAACTAGGTGTTCTGATTGGCCAAATCCTGTTCCCCTGGCCTTCCTGATTGGCTGAAAGCGGAAGACTGCTTTAGTGTTGTCTTTGTTCCTTCGTGATCTAAACTCTTAACACTACACTGAAGTCTCCTCTGGGATGACCGCCCCTCATTACCAGACACATTGGGGCCGGCGCTATGACAGCCCTGCCGGATCCTGGCCTTGGCAGGTGTCTGAAAGGAAGAATCTCCGAATGCTGACAAGGAGCTCAGGGCACTTTTCACTTCCAGCCCATACAGTTCTGTCACGTTTGTTGTGGATGAGATGCATGATGATTTGCTACGAGGCGAAGGACTTATGACTCTTCCATCTCCTTCAAAAATATCAAAAAGTTCATCATAGAGCTACACAATGCATGAGCTTACTGTAGAAAATACACAGAACGAAGTTTTGGCAAACAGAGGTTGAGCTACTAACGGTAAACAACACTGCAAAGACACTAAAGCAGCTACCAATACACCCGGTCGAGTTACAGCTAGCATCTACAGGGTATGTGGCTCCCCTGAGAAGCTTGTAAGTTGTGGATCAGATGGTGTCCCTGCTCTCAAACAGCCTTTACCATATTGAAAATTAATTTAATGCAGAAAACGGGTTAAAAAGAATATTTATACATTTATCTAGTTATCACTAAACAGGGTTATGATGGGTTTAGGAGAGGTAGATACTGAAGTCTATTCTAAAGAACTGGAAGATGGTGATCAGTGTGTACATAGTGGGTTGGGCCTCCACTTTAGTGCCAGCATCCCATATGGGGGCCACAGTTCTGTAGATTCCTTCCCAATCCAGCTCCCTGATTATGGCTTGGGAAGGCAGTGGAGGTTGGCTCAACTCCTTGGGACTCTGCATCCATGTGGGAGACCCCAGAAAAAGCGCCTGGCTCCTGGCTTCGACTCAGCCCAGCTCTGGACATTGCAGATATGTGGGGAACAAATCAGTAAATGGAAAATATCTCTCTGTATGGCTTCCCTTCTCTCTGTAGCTCTGCCTTTCAAATAAAAATAAAATAAAGCTTAAAAAAAAAAACTAGAAAAGGGTAGGATTTTCAAGAAAAAAAATGAACAGAAGTTCCAGAAATGAGGTAAAGTTTGAGTAATACATCAAAGGTGACCATTTGAATACTAGAGAAAATCTACCATATTTCCCACAAGAAAGAGAAAATCTACTCTAAGTAATAACTGATGTTGAAGTGCTTGAAGAGAAAAATTCATGATAAAATAAAGTCTAAGATCACCAGAAAATTTTGCATAAACTCAACAAGGTAAAAGCATGAAAAACAAATCTAGAGAATTAACATTCATTGGGAAGCTATCACACAAAATGATGACAATTTGAATTCACATCTATATACATATTCATAATACAGCAAAGAATTTACTAGATTACCATATATCAAAGGATTTACTAGTTTCTCTAGGACTACAGAGCATAAATGAAAGTATCTCACATGTAATTTCTTGAACAAAATAATTATCACATCCCACTTTTCTGAGTATCAGAAGTACCAAGACAATGAATAATAAAATGACGTGTGTAAGCATCATATTTATCAAAAGACAGACTTCATAAAATGACCACTTGGCAGCAGGATACCATGCATAGATGGACAGACAGTATAAGGCATGGTCATATATGAGGGCACTTTAAAAAAAATTAAAAAGTTCACAGAAAATGAAATTAAAGGATAACTTAATTTTAGTGAAAGGAGTTTAAAATCCACATACATGAAGGCTCTTTAATAATGCACTGACTTCAAACTTCCTTGCACCAAAATATACTTACTGCTTAGTTCTACTTTTCTACAAACTCTCTGAAATTCCCTTCTCCGTATTCACTCATTTTGGAGATGTTTCTGGTCATGGAAATTCTGATTCTTGGATTCCAGTCAACCTACCATGATCTTAAATGCCAAGCATTATAAGATTCTACACATATTTTAAAATTTTTTCTTTGGAATTTAATCAATATTAGGTTAATTGAAATTTATTATACAGTAGTCCTCGGACTATCCAGCTCATTTAACAAATCCAAGAATGAAAGGGTTGAGGGCCTAGCAAGATAGGCTAGTGGCTAACTCCTCTCCTTGCAACCGCTAGGATCCCATATGTGTATCAATTTGTGTCTCAGCTGCTCCACTTCCCATCCAGCTCCATGCTTCTTGCCTGGAAAAGCAGTGAAGGACCCTGTACCCATAGGAGACCTAGAAGAGGCACCAGTCATTATGGCCACTTGGGGAGTGAACCCAGCAGATGGAAGATCTTTCTCTTTCTATCCCCTTCTCTCTGTATATCTGACTTTCCAATAAAAATAAATAAATCTTAAAAAAAAAAAAGACAAGACTCTACGGGTTAACTGTTAACATTACCTCAGAAAGCCTAAAAGAAATCACAACTCAACATAATAAACTGCCAAATGGAGACCAGCATACCAGGAAGCATAGATATTTTGCAGTATGTGTCTCTACTCCCAAACAAAAGTAGAACTCCTAAAGAAATATTTAAACATAATTTTACAGTATGATATGAGATATTTTATCTTTGTCTATACCTATCAGCATCCATATGGGATCCTGGCAGTTGCAAGGTGAAACCACTAGGTTATAGGGCAGGGCCCATGCCATGATATATTGAAATAACAGAAAGTTAAAGTTGTAACTTTTACTAAGGGACTATACTACTGTGATAACGGGTGTGGGAGGATGTTGGGGGTGGGGGGGAGGTGAGAAAACTGTGTTGTTTAAAATAATAGTCATACTACAAAGAAATCACTTCTCAAGTTTTAGACTAACCAGCTAAAATAAAACGCCAACTGTATTTTTCACGGAACTATCACTGGTCAATTTATGTCCACAAGCTACAAACTATTTAACTGACCTTGAAAACAAGAAATAGGCCGAAACTGATTATAACAACCCAGTAGTTTGGCTGCACTGTGTCAGATCTCCAAACTGTCCTGAGGAAGTGCTACTTAAAATTTTCACAATGTGTTACACTGTTAGAGGTAGAATGCTGAGCACAAAAGTGAAGAAAGTAGCTCTAAGTTGTGCCATCTTTTCTGCGTGAAACAGAGAAGGAACCCTGGAAACCACGAGGTACAACTTTAACACACGTTACATGAGGCTCCTGTCACACAGTATGGTTTTGAAGAAAATCTTTTCAAGAAAAAATCAGTTTCTTTTCTTCTGTAGAGCTTATTTGTATTGGTGCGGGTCAATTGCATGTTTAGAAGACATTATTTATTACCTAGTGACACAAAATTTCATATATACACACTCTTTCCCATTAGCAAATATCTAGTAATACTTCACCACTGAAATAAATTTGCCTGGCCAGCCATTTACCAATGCTTATCAACTTCCTATTCTAATTCAAGAGAAAGCTGAGAAAAGTATTTAAGCTTGATTTATGATTATGAGGGACAATTGAGATATTATTCTAAAAAAAGAAATTATTCCAAAAAAATGAAGGAAATTTATAATGCAAGCACAAAATATCGAAGCTGAAAATTTCCAGTTTCTTATCCACAATTCTATACCTAAAACAGTACCAGGCACACAGTGTAAAATCCATACACTGTACTTTGCCAAGGAAGACAACAGATGCTCCCCGAGCAGAGGAGCTACAGTTAGACGGAGGTCCTGCTCAACAACTGGCCAAGGCAAGAGTGAGGAAATAGGAAGAAAGAGACGTGTCAGTTGAGTTTGGCCCAAGATAAAGGCCCCAAAGTACCAACATCAAAAAAGAAAAGTATGCAACTGTATCATAAAATTGGAAAAATAAATTAAAAATGAAAAAGATATTTGCTGTTGGTACTTGATATTCTCAATAAACTTGAGTGCTTTAAAAAAAAAAGATGCTGCATGCTCACCCAGGAACTAGCTGCTCAATCTGGAGGGGCCGTACCCATCAGCCCTCACACAGCCTCCTCGAGGAGAGGATGGTGAAGGATGCCAGCACACTACAAATCCTCAGTTACTAGCCACTAACAGTCACACGTGCTGGAGATCATTTTTCTTCGATCGGAAAATAAGCTTCAGAAGTATAAGCAGCTCCTGTAAACAGCATCGGTCACAGCGCTTCTCACCCACCAGAACCCCCGTGGCGTGACCAAAATGCACATCTCCAGATTCCACCCAGATCAGAAGGAGAAATAGGAGGGGATGGGATGGCTAAGAATCTGCCTTTTTAAAAAGATTCCAAGGAATACACCCTATCTTTGTGGTCTCTGTTATATAAAGTATCTAATTATATGCCACCCATATAATTAGGAAAGATCGCTTCTTTGCTGCTCCTGATTTTCCGTTCTTCACCCAATTTGCTAAATGTTTGTGTTCCCACACCATCACCTCACTAACAAGCCACTTTACCTAGTTCTAACAAAACATTTGCAACACTCCTTCCCATTCTCTATTATATAGCCCACCCTCAAACTAAACTATTAGAAATGACCCACTCCAATTCTGATTTAAACTAATTCTAAACAAATTTGATGGCCAACAAAACATGTCATTTGTAATGCAGCTTTATTCATATCTAGTGACCAACATTAAATAAATATTATGGCCCTAAAAAGATGAATCGTGTTGGATCTCTACTCACTGATAATACCTTGCCTACTGGAATAGTTTCTTTCAAGATCATGTTGTAAGAGTCGACCAGGGAATGATGGTGTGTCTCTATTTAGCTTGAATTCAACCTGAAAAACATCATTGAGGAAAAATTGGAAAAACATATAGTGGTCAGTAATGAAGTTAATTATAAAACAGCACACCATAATCTCCTGCTTGAGAATGTCATGCTACTTAGAAAAAAAAAAAGAAAGAAAGAAAAAGCTGTATTTTGTACAATTCCACTTAGATGGAATATTCACAATAGGCAAATACAAAGAGAGAGAAAGAAAGAAATTGAAATGAAAAAAAAAGAAAGAATTAGGAAAACAACAACAAAAGAGAAAAGAAAGAAAAAATGCATTTGTGGCATCTGAAATTTACAGGAGCAACCAAGTAATGGGTATGAGGATTCTATTTAGATGAAAGAGTTCAGACACAAATAAGAAGTGATGACCACACCACATTTGAATGCACTTAGTGCCACTGAACCTTAAAATGGTTTAAATGGTAAGCCATACATTATGCATATTTTATAATACATGAAATCAGTTTATCTCTTCAGGGTAGATTCTGAGCAACCCCCAATCCCTCCATACCCTCTCCAAACAGAGTGATCAAAAGAATCACTTCTCTGAGATGTACAAAAGTGCGAAATAACAGCTCAACGCTGCTGAAAAGGGTCATCGCTACTTTGATCACCCATTAAGGGTTTTTACTAAACTGCTTCAAAATCATTGCCTGGTAGGAGCACTGAGGAAAAATAATCATAAAACAACCTCTTACAAGTGGTCACAAAGGTCCTAAATACGTATCTTAAAAGAATCACAATTCTGGGCCCGGCGTGGTGGCACAAGTGGTTAAGTCCTCGCCTTACACGCCCGGGATCCCATATGGGCACCGGTTCTATCCCGGCAGCCCCACTTCCCTTCCAGCTCCCTGCCTGTGGCCCGGGAAAGCAGTCGAGGACGGCCCAAAGCTTTGGGATCCTGCACCCACGTGTGGGAGACCCAGAAGAGGCTCCTGGCTTCAGACTGCATAGCATCGGCCTTTGCGCTCACTGGGGAGTGAATCATCGGACGGAAGATCTTCCTCTCTGTCTCTCCTCTCTGTATATCCACCTTTCCAATAAAAACATAATAAAAATAAATCTTAAAAAAAAAAAAGAATCACAATTCTTCCCCTTCACCTGTGTTAAAAACATGATATTGCATTTACATAGCATTCTTATGGATGATATAAGTTAGAGAGATCTTCTCAGAACACAGCTCAACAAAGACAAAGTGAATGATTTGCAAATATGCTGGATGAGGCACATAGTTCCTAGACATGCTACAATGTTGGAACAGGATTTATCCAGTGAAATTCATCAGGAGAGCTTCGGAGGAGATGCATCAAATTCAATTATAATGAAGCATATCTTCGATTGAGCCAGCTACCCACTGTTTGCTGGGGTGAGCACAGGTTTGCGGTCCTGAGTTCCCCACTTTGATGCACACATGCTGGCCCCCTGCCCTTTGCCTCCTCTAGCCCTTCTGCCCTCCTCTGGCTGTGATCTGTTATCAGAGCCTCCAGGAACACCTACTTAACAACTGAATCAGCTGAACTAGGTGGCTGGCGCTATCCAACTAGGTCAGAGACAGAAGCTTGAAGTTGTATCTTGAGGCACAGCTGGGCAGGAGGAAGGCAAATAGATCTGAGTGCAACAGAGCAGGGAAGAAAGCATCTGTTATCTACAATATCTCAAAAATCAAATCAAAAGTCAGAAATTCTAGAAACCCCAGAGATCATGTAGGCACATGATCTACAGAAAACGCAACCTCGTGTTCACACACTACCTTTTAAGTCACATTAAGCCTAATGTATTTCCGCTGTTACGGTACTTTCCTCCTTTTCACAGTATCTGTAGAGATCCCCTCTTGGTCAACCAGATTTTCAGTTAACCATTGCCCATTGCCATAGTGCACAACACCTTACATTCACTACTAAGAGAGAAAGAAAAGCCATTTCCCTACTAAGCTAGAGCATGTCATCAACTTTAAGGTGGATCCTGCTTTCAGAAATGTGTGTCCAAGAAGAGGAAAAGCCTTAATCTCTTGCAATCAATGAACTAACATTCATTTTAAAGAGGTCGAAGTTTGGCTGTGTGTGGGCAGAAAGTAAACAGCAGTCTTAGAGCGCAGACCAAAATATGTATCCTCGAAATGGGCAGTTTAAATCTCCTCTTCAAGTCACGCTATTTGTGTCCCATACAAAACCAGTTCTCGCCCATCAGAACACCAATCGGCAAAAATCTTACCTTGTGCTTCTCAGGAAGTGATGAGGTTTGAATAACCAGATGAAGCCCACAGTTCACCTGAAAATGAAAAAGAAAAACGAGCCTTAAATGTTGCTCTACACCCACCCAAATGGTACAGAAACACACACATCCAGCAAGCAACCAGAACTGACTAGGATGCTCGAACTGCCTCGGTCTGTGGTAACTGATCATGTTCTGGGCATTTGTTGGAAACAGTAAAATCACAACTAAGAATGAAAAGGTTTCACTGATTTATCTTCCAATATGTCGGCCACACTTTGGGCCCTTCTTTCTTCTGACACCTGCCATTGCCATTTTAGGTCTGAATAAATGTCTCAGGGGGGATTAGGTGAGGAGGTGGTAGTAGCTAAAATAAATTCTTTTCTCAATTAAGAAAAAAAAAATCAAAAAGAAAGGAAGAAAGAAAAGGGGACGCAGCGGTTGCAGGAATTTAAATGAACCCGTGCTTTTCACGGTGGATCAGCTCCACCTTCGGGGCAGGCCAGCCCTTGGACAAGTCCTCGCGTCCACCCCACGGCAGCCCACACCCTCCCAGGGCTCGGTCCGACCCACGAGCCCTCAGCCCTGAGGCCCGGTCAGACCGCGGCTCGTGGGAAGCCAGCGGTCCGATCCCGGGAAATCTGCGGGATCGCGGCCCCATCACCTGGGACAAAAGGCGCCTGTCAGAAAGGACGATACCGATGGGGAGAGACAGAAAGCCAGGAAGCCCAACCTACGTTGTTTGCAGTCCGGCCAGAAACAGAGCGATACTTCCCAGGAATCATGGCAAAGACAGCCCCGGGGACTGCGGGCTCCGTCTTCCAGGAGACGCTACCGGAGGGATTCAGACACCGACAGGGGTCGTCTCCCCGGCAACCCGCCCCGGGTTTCCATGGAGACCACCACTTCCGCCCTGGTCCTCGCCCGCCTCGGCTGACCGCTGCAATCTTCTCCGCCCTCGGGCTGTATCTGTCGGGGCGCTGGCGTCGGCGCTTCCTGAACTCTACACACACACACACACATAAACCGCGAGGAGAACCGCACGGAGGAGAGTTTGAGTAGCGAGAAGCCCGCCACCTCGGTACCTAGGGACCACAGGCACTTCCGGTCCGTCCGGGTTTGTGGCCCGCCCCAGCGCGGCCCGCGCGAAATTCGTATCCCTCGGCCGGTGTCCACCTGCTTTTCTCTCTCTGGCTCTCTCTGTTTCTTCTCTCGCGCGCGCGCGCCTCTTTTTACTTGTCTTTTGTTCTGTTTTTCTCATCCGTAAAATTAGACATGAGAAGTCGGAGATTCCCACTTAACACTAGCAGTTGGAATTGCAATTGGCCGACCCAGTTAATTCATTCCACCCCAAACTCAGTCTTCACTCTTGAAAGAATTACAGTGGAGCAAATCTTTCGGGCAGAGGGAAGGAGAAAGGAGCTGCCAAGGCCTTCCTGTCCCCCGCACATCCTTGGGCATCCCAATGCTCTCTGCACGTCCTGACTACCTGCCTTGGTGTCAGAGTATTTGCACCTTCTCCCCGTGATGAAATGCTGGCTTATTAAACCTGATGCTCGCGGTTCTCCCAGTGACCTGGAATTGGCATTTGGGCTTCCAGCATAGGACACTAATCATAGAATTTTAGAGCTGAGGGAGACAGCCGTGCTCATCCAGTGCACACCTACCCGGAAGTGAGCAGTGTCTTCGTGGGCCAGAAGTCCTCATCTTGAAGGGCTGTTGCCAGGCCCAACTCCCTCTGCCTTAGCAACCTGCTTCCTACATGGACAAGGGAGTTGATGACGTTGTTAGGCCAAAGAGTTAAGATGAATAACATGGTTTATGTTTCCCCCCATGCCTCTTCTATCTACACCAGTGGTTCTTTCTAGCATTGCTCACTGTGCTTCCTGATGAACTTTTGCCTTCTCAAGTTGGTTGTGTTCCTGGTGTCAGGCCCTGCCCGTTCCCTCTCACCACCGATTATGCCATTTTCTTTAAAACTCAGCTAGTGGAACCTTTGCTCTGACAAAACAAGGATCTTATCTGATCTCTTCGCCATTGTATTGGCACTGCCTGGGAGGATATTCTGTAAGTTTAAGGAATTCAATAAATATTTATGGGATGATTGAGAACTTTTTTCTTTTTGCATTGAAATAGGTCTTCATTCTCTGCCTTTGGTGGTGGTCGTCCTTTCTTTGAACTATCTATCCATCAGCAATATCTATTTGAACATTGCCTAGAACTGTATAACCATGTATTAGAGAAGCATAATTATATAATAAGAGAGAGAAACATGAAATGCCCCTATGCTGCTTTCCTTCACCATAACTGTACCTAGTGAAAAATTGGGAGGAGCAATGCCAGGTTAGTGAACAGCCAAGGATTTCGTAATGCAACAAGTCCTAGCCATGGAGAGACAGCTGCAGAGTACATATCAACTGTTTTCCAATCAGTAACCACATGATTCTAACCATCTCTACTACTTTAAAACATGCACTGAGTTAATAGGAAACTGGGTTATCATAAAAGTCATGTTTAAAGTACATAAGGTTATAAAAAGATTTTTTAAATTTCTAGTTGAAATGAATGTTTAGGCTAGTCCAGAAAGAAAGCCCTAGTAACATAGCTGAGGAGGTTATCTTATACCACATCTCATACCTTCCCACCATTTCAGGTTTTTCTTCCCAGTCTCAGAACTAACTAGCTCAAACGTCTCCTGTCACACTACAACATGTATTGAGGAGCCCCTGCAGACACTGTTTAGTGCCATAGTTAGTGTGTTGTGGTTGTGCAGGTAGGTGTGAGTGTGAATGTCCCCCATTTTTAGAGACCTAGTTCTAAGGAACACCATATACCACCTGACTTTGTTACTTTCCTTTGGTGGGGCCTACAAAACAGAGGGACCGCAAAACAGCATCCTTTGTCCACAGTGTCAGCTTTGTTTAGTAGTTAGAGGCTGCAGAAGTGAGACGCTGCTAAGGACTCTCAGGCTGCTGGGGCTCAGGAGCCATAGTTAGGACAAACGGGGGAAGGAGAGGGACGCTCGTGGCTTTTCTGGGACAGGAGTGGCTTATTTCTTGGAATCAAGGCTCTGCCTTCTGTGAGATCCTTTTGTGGCTGCGCCTGACTGTTGCCATGGTGATTGTTAACTGTCCCAGTGCTGGTGGGAGTATCAGTTAGCCTGCAAATGAGATATAATGAAGCCTTGAGATATTAGAAAGATGACTCAATCAGCCATTATTTTTAAGATCGATTTAATCAGAAGGCAGAGTGACACCAAGAAAGGGAGACACAGAAACAGAAAGAGATCCACTGGTTCACGCCCCCAAATGGCTACAGTGGCTGGGGCTGGGCCAGATGGATCTCTTACTTAGATCGCTGGATCCCAAGCACTTGGGCAGTTTCCCGTTGCTTTCCCAGAGATAATTAGCAGGGAGATCAGAAGCAGAGCAACTGGGACATAAGTAAGCACACTATCAGCCATTAGATACTGGCAAGAAAACAGAGGCCTAACCCACTGCACCAAAAGGATAGCAAACAGTTGTATCTCTCCTTGATTTTACAAAGGAGGAACTTTTGGCTGCAAAGATCCTGCCTCAAGAAGAAGCAAGAGTTATGGTGGAGGTAGGATGTTTACTAGGGAGTTTAGGTTTGCTCTAGGCGACAATATTTTGCCCCATTAATGCTGTGCTTACTGTTTTTATTTAACACTTAATCTTGTGTCCTCTCTCTTTCTAATAGCATCCCAATGACTCTGTAGCTGAAAGTTAACTTTAACTGAAGTATATCAAATGTAAAGTGAATGTAAAGTGAAGAAATCTTAAATGGACAAGTCATTAAATCATTATGAACTAAATATGTGTAACGACAACCTGGGCCAATGAAATGGAAGATTATTAACACCCCACATCACTCCAGTCCCACCCCTTTCCTTACAAGTAACCAAGCCTGCTGTTTTATGGATTTCCCATAACTAAAATCATGCTGTAGGAATTTTCATGTCTGGTTTCTTTTCTCCAACATTATACTCAGATTCATTCATGCTGTTGTATGCAACAATAGTTTATTCATATTGTTCTGTGGGCTTCTATTGTATGAATATTACCAAAATTGGTTTCGCTATCTGCTGTTGTTGGATATTGAAATTGTTGCTTGCTGGGGTATGGAGTAAGTGAAACTGCTCTAAATATTCTTGAACCTGTCTTTGGCTTTCATGCACACATTTATCGTGGAAATTATCTAGAGTTGCTGGTTTACAGTATTATATTTGAGCAGATAATACGAAAATAGTTGCATGCATCTTGCTTCTACCAGCTCTCTCACACTGCAGTCCATTTGCAGGTGTGGAGTGGTGGCTTTCTTTTGCATTCCCTGATTATTAATCAATTAATAAGGAAACAACTTTTCAAATGGTAGCTGAACATTTTGAAGCCAAGCCTGGTGGCAGTTGTGTTTATGTTCAGCTGAGTTTTCTTGTTGATTGGGAACTCTTTGTACAAAATGAGCAGTGTGGCATAAAGAGTTTAACTGCCATCCTGCACAGGCACCACTTTGAATCCCCATTACTGCACTTCTGATCCAGCTTCCTTCTAACACTCCTAGGAAAGCAGCAGAAGATGACCCAAATACTTGGACACCTGCCAGCCATGTGGGAGACCCTGATGAAGCTCCTGGCTTTGGCCTAGTCCAGTCCCAGCAGTTGCGGCCATCTGGGGAGCGAGCCAGCAGATGAAAGATATTCTCTCTCTCTCAATCTCTCTCTCTCTCTCTCTCTCTCTCTCTCTCTGCGTGTGTGTGTGTGTTTCAAATACATAAATCTTTTAAAAATGGAATTCTTTGGGCCCGGTGCAATAGTGTAATGGTTAAGGTCCTCGCCTTGAACCCAGGATCCCATATGGGTGCCAGTTCTAATCCTGGCAACTCCACTTCCCATCCAGCTCCTTGCTGGTGGCCTGGGAAGGCAGTCAAGGACGGCCCAATGCCTTGGGACTCTGCGCCCGTGTGGGAGACCTGGAAGAAGTTCCTGGTTCCTGGCTTCGGATCAGCATAGCACCGGCCGTTGTGCTCACTTGGGGAGTGAATCATCGGACTGAAGATCTTTCTCACCTTCTCTCCTCCTCTCTGTATATCTGACTTTCCAATGAAAATAAATAAAATCTTTCTTAAAAATGGAATTCTTGATAAATCCTGCCTTTAGGTCCTTTGTTAGTTAAAATTTTAAAATATCTTTCACAGTGGCTTGCTTCCTCCTTTAAAAAAGTTTATTTACTGATTTATTTGAAAGGCAGAGTTATAGAGAGAGAAGAAAGAGAGAGAGAGAGAAAGAGAGATCTTCCATCCACTGGTTCACCGCTCCCCAAACCCCTAGGTGGGCACAACAGCTGAGGCAAGGTTAGGCCAAAGCCAGGAGTCAGGAGTTTCTTCTAAATCTCTCACGTGGATGCAGGGACCCAAGAACTTGGGCCAATCTCTACTGTCTTCCAAGGCCATTACCAGAGAGTTGTTTGAGAAGTGAAGCAGCATGGACTTGAACTGGTATCCACCCAGGATGTGAACACAGCAGGCAGCCGTTTAACGTGCTGCACCGCAGCACAAGCTTCTTCACTATTAAGAGTTTCTCAGAGCCCGGCGCAATGGCCCAGTGGCTAAACACTAACTTTGCATGCTCCAGGATCTATTGTGGAGACCGGTTCGAGTCCCAGCTGCTCCACTTCTAATCCAGCTCCCTGCTTGTGGTCTGGGAAAGAAGTAGAGAAGAGCCCAGGCCTTTGGGACCCTGTAACCATGTGGGGGACCCAGAGGAGGT